TATTTTTAGTAGGGATTATGCAGAAACATGGATTTCAGAGAAACAATTCCCATATGGCATTACCATTATCGGAAAACCCAAAACAATTCATACTTCTGCTGTCACATTCAGGCGTCGTAGCACCCCAATCCCGCCTCTTGCTTTTGAGAGGGTTCTTAGAAAACATAACATAAAAAAATGCAAACCGAAACCAAAACAATCAAATCAAAGGTTCCTTATGGAATTTCTTTATTCAGTCTTTGAACATGGAACCGGATTTCTTCTATGCGATGCAATTGTTGGATTCGACAGGTGTTTGCATTGTGCCTGGTAGTGGTTTTGGTCAAAAGAAAGGAACATACCACTTCCGGTGAATAGATCCCTCGTTCAGCTTTTGCTTCACGCTTTCTCGATTTTGACAATCTTGGAAAGCTAATTTTGATTGCTATTCCAGAACAACAATTCTTCCGCCGACGGAGTTAATGAAAGAAATGGTGGATCGATTCAAGTCCTTCCATACAAAATTCATGCAGGAATATAAGTAGTAGTAGTTTTTGTGTCACGTACTTAGCTTTAACTCGATCATGTATCATATATTCGGTTGAAAATTGTAAACTCGTGCTAGGGCTAGAGTCGAAGGTTTTTGAGTACGTGTGGTGTCGTTGATTTTTTTAAAATAGGTACTGCCCATCGTATATCGTGTGACTATTTATAACTACAATGTTGGTAACTATGGAAAAATACTTGGAAAATTATGATGAATTGTTACATCATGATCGAGGCTTGTAGTATTATATCGAAATGAAAAAAAAGTTTGTCTGTTCAAGGGCACTTCCCTGCCCTGTTATGTTCTTGCAATGGCATGATTGTGATAACACCCCAACGGCTATATAAACACCTACACCCCGGTCATTCCACAAAGTGCTGCAGTGGGAGCTGGAGAGCAATGGAGAGAGGAACGAAGGATAACAAGGAGGAGGAAATGAAAGGTCACGCAGGGAGAAGAGGTTCCGGGGGTTGCCGGGGACCCCAGGCTATCCAGACTCAACGAAGCCTACCATGCCATGTGCGCGATAGCGTGCGGAGCTAAACTGGTATAATAACACGGTAGGCTTCGTCGAATCTGGATAGCCTGTGGAACGTTTCGCCCACCGCTAAAGCCGCCAAACCCTAAGCTTGCATCACGAAATGCCTAGCTGACCTTCCATAGCATCTTCATTTTCTGAAGCTCACCGTTTGATACGCGCGATAGAGTGCAGAGGTATGTAAACAACCACCATGCGTTGAATGTCAGGGTAATTTAGCGGTCGGATGATATTTGATGCTAATGATATTGAAATAGAAATACCCAGTGGTCATTATCGCATTTCTTTGAACATCCACCATACATTCCTAAGAACTTTGGACAGAGTAGCGGTCGAATGGAGTTCGAGACGATGAAACGCGATGAAGTAAAAATGAAATGAGTTTGGTTCTTATCTAGTACTTTGGTTTTGGGCATTCTATGTGTTCTACGTATATCGCCATTATCAGTCCTTATCACTTTCTGACCCCCACCAAATATGTTCCCGTCCCACCCTGTACATCACTTCTTGGAACCAACGCCTCCACTGCTGCTGGGACACGCTATGAATTTCGTGAAATTTGCGTTTCAGCGCCTCTTATCAGCCCTTATCAGTCATTACCCCAGCAGGGATAAAGAACGAACCATTTGGAACGGCCCAAAACCACTTGCGCATTGATGCGTTTCTCATCGTTGTGCCCTCTTCAACACTACGCTCTCTCTGCTATCTAATCACTCGCCACGTATAGACCTGCGGCGAGTGATTAGATAGTCGGTGGGCGTACCCCGCCAACCGCGCCAAGAGTGAGCCATGCTAGATCGCCGAGGTCAAATCTTTCGCTGCCAATTGCGCGTCGGTCAGCACCCTCAGGAGGTCCGCCTGTCTCCCAACTATGCAATTTTCCCCTTCTTTGACCTTCGTTCTTATCGTGAATTCCTCAACTAATTTACTGTTCGTATTCGCATTTGTACGGATGCACTACTGGAGGCGTCCTGAATTTCTAGCAAAGCTCAAGTATGAGAAGATGAAGAAAACGTTGTTACGAGCCGCATTCACCATTTTTCTCTGCCTCCATATGTTTTGGTCTCCTCACCGCTGCGGATGCCAATTCACTTGTTCACAGCCAGTGTTTTCATTGGTCCCTTTCGTTTTTTCTCACTGACGGTTCCTTCTTTTTTCATTTCCGAGCGAAAAACACACATTACGGTGAATGCTGCAGGGTCGCCGAACATTTGAAAACCAGCTCTCCTTCTCCATGGCTAAACCGGTGAAATCTTATCTGGATGATCGTCATTGGTCCAAGCGCTTATAACTCTCCCAGTTCTGTAAGCCAAATATGACTTCCTTGGTTGAACTTTCTGCAGCGGACGGACGGATAACTCGGACTATTTTTCTTTATTGCTTTCATGGAATTACCTATTTCAGAAACCTGACGATAGTCTTGAAAAATTTTGGAGATGGAGTTGAAGTGCGTCAAGTGATCGTAGGTCAAACAACAAATCGGAAACCATCGACTGACCCTTGGAGGGAGAGAGGGTCGCGTGAGAACTCCCTTCAGGGGGTGTCGCCCAAATCTCATAATTTTCCCAAGATAAGTTGCCCTTTATCCCACTTCACAGGCGGGATTTACGGTGGAAAGGGAGCCCATTGGAAAACAATATAGTAGAGGCGATCCGTGGTGTAAGGATGAAGAAAAATCATGAGGGGCGGCCGAGAACCCAAGAGGTGGTTCCTTAGTGATACGGCTCTCATCGATGCTGCCCTCTTCAACACTAACGCTCTCTCTGCTAAACAGCTAGAGGCAAACGGCAAGAGGGTGGACGTGCCGCAGTGCGAGGAGCGCGGTTACGGCTCTGCTAGACCACTGGGGGCATACTTTTCGCTGCAAATTGCCCATCGTCTCGCATCCTCACCAGGAAGGTCTTTCAGGGCGTGACGAGCTTTTTGAAAACGGTCTTTTGCATGATATAGGGGCAGATGCGGGAACCACAGAACCATGTTCAATTTTTCCTGAACGGCCCTCTGAATACCAGAAAAGGAGGTCCCTAGTTCGATTCCTCGTGGTAACAAATTTTTGCATTTCGAGTTGACGTGCCAAAATTCGCGCAAAATGGAGTTAGAACCAACAGAACAATCAGAACTCCATTTTGCGCGAATTTTGGAACGTCAACTCGAAATGCAAAAATTTGTCACCAAGAGGAATCGAACTAGGGACCCCTTTTCTGGTATTCAGAGGGCCGTTCAGGAAAAATTAAACATGGTTCTGTGGTCCCGCATCTGCCCCTATATCATGCAAAAGACCGTTTTCAAAAAGCTTGTCACGCCCTGAAAGACCTTCCTGGTAAGATGCCCACCTGCCTTTCGACTTTTGGTTCGTATATTTCCCCTGCTTCGGCCTACGACCTTACCCGCCTTCAAATCATGCATATGGTCACGCGCGCCCTATTGCTCACACAAAACGGGTACTGAAAAGATGCTACTCGGATCCCGACGCCCTTACCAGCGTTTGTCGCCTATTATCACCCTCTCACCCACCATGTGTGCCCCTTCTCTTACCCCTTATCATCACGAGGTTGAACACACAGCTGTTTTTGCAGAGGATTGTGCTCGACATGTACGTGTGTGTTAACAACAGTGATCATTGTAGATATTGATATGATCGGGGTAGTATAAAAGCAAAAATCGTCAGGTATGGTTCATTTCGCTGCTACGGCGAACAAATCAGACGTCAACTCCTGTTCCTCGCCATGATCGACGTTGACGTGCTGCTTCTGTTTCACGGTGTGGCGATCGTTCTTCTAACGCATGTGATCCTCTTATGCGGAAGAAAGAAGGCGGGTGCGGATGCCGAAGTATCAGACCGCCAATCAACGGAACCCGTGTCTGAACCCACTGAACGTAGCGAAAAGGCTAAATCTGAGCGGGTAAGTATCATGAGTTGAATGGGGGGAACGGATAGCCGTCTTTAGCGACTAGCCTCACGAAAGCTTGCTGTCATGTTCTGGTTTTGAAGCTACCAAGGTCACTTGGTCGTCCCGCAGTTCCTCCAAAGTCGAGGTGCTGTGGGACAGCGGCGGCAGGTTCCAGGTTCCAAGCAGAAGAATGCTTCAGCAGCGCTTCATTGCTTATGGAGCGTTCATAGTTGGCCATCGTACGTGCGTTTAGGCGATTAGGCATTAAGGATTAGCGAGTAGGGGAGTAGTCGATTAGGCGAGCAAGCGAATGATACAAGAAGGATACGTATTGATTCGTTGCTCCCCCATTGAGCGAACGCCTAATCGCCTAATCACCTACTCGCCTACAACGCTCACTGGGCGGAACAAACAAATCAATACGTATGTAACTTCCCGCCTATTCGCCCAATCGCAAACTGTGAACGCTCTATTAGTTGAGTGATGGATGACCTCTGTAAGCTCGCGTACATGCTTTACAATTTCACAGTAGGAGATCGGCTAATTATGAAAATGTGTGTAAGTATTGAACGGGAGATTACGGACAAAATTAGGTAAATGGAAGATTAGAATCATGAAACCTTATCAACCTTATCTGATTGACTGGATATCGACTGAAATCACCGGAGATTGAAGGCAGTACTCAAGATGGCTGGAAGCGGTGCACTTTCGATATAGTCATGATCTCATCTGGTATACGGACCTTTATTTGCGCGGATGTGTGGTATTGCGAGCGGCAACGCCTCAGCGCCTTCGCCAATGACGTTCAGATGACGTATCAAGACTGTCGCGATGGCCCGGATCAGGCATACCAAAGGCGAACATGCCCCGCGCGCGCGCCTATAACGCAATAAATATCATCGTCATGTGGGGAGAGGACATCACAAGTAGGTGCCGAAGTTACTGTGCTCGGGATCCTAAGTTCTAGGAAGAAGGGATGCTGGGCGAACATGTTGAATGATTTGTGATTTGACTGGATTAGTCCTAGTCCTCACCAACTAGCCCTGATATGTTAATGTCCACCCCAAGGGCCTGAGCGCAAATATAAGACAGCCTTCAGAGTTGATGATCGTATATGCGATTAGGCGATTAGACTAGGGGATGGTATAGGTATCAATTAGGCGAGTAGGCAATAAGGCGGCTTGTCGTGTAGGCAAATAGGCAAATAGGTGAATGATCGTCTAGTCGCCCGATCGCCAACTATGAACAACGGCTGCTAGCAGCCGTGTCGCGCGGTATGAATCAACATCCCTGCCTCCTACTGCACACGGGCTGGTACATGAATCAGCGGTGAAAAAATTTGAGCTATATAATATGGTCCCCCGTCAACCGCCAGAACCACCTTACCTGCATAAGCTTTGCGTTCCTCCTCATCTTACTATCCTCCGCAGCACGTTGTGGAATGACCAAAGCGAAACTACGGGAGTAGGCGGTGGCTATATAGCCCTTTGAGTGTCACAATCATGCCATTGCAAGATATTGATAGGGCAAGACCTGCCCGACACACTAGGGTTGTGGTTTATATAATGAGGAGATATTTGGAATAACGTGAAGCTATTCACGACGAGCATGTTGCAGGTTCTAGACAAGGAACAACTCTCCGTCATCGCAATATGCAAGTTCTGTCTCCGTGATATTATAATCAATCGTGCATTGCAAATTGAGCTGGAGATGCAAGAGGTAATTATTATTTTGCTTTCGGGGTGTTCAGTCATGGGTTTTGTTAGGCCAAAAAGCCTATAGTAAGCGAAACGATATTCGACAGTACTGCTACGGGCTAAATTCCGCGCAAAGCTCAACTTCTGATGCATTTCGAAAGAGCCGCGAAGTTCGAAGCGAAGCCCCAGGGCAATGATCAACTGGGATTACCTTCACTTCACTTTAAGTTTATGTGGGCCTTTGTGACCAGTTTAACTTCGTATCGTCACCGCACTTCCCTTGCTCAGTACAATTACTTATGTCTTCAGTGTGCTCATTTATAGTTGTGAAAGTTAAACGCTCAGGGAAGAATGCGCAAAAACAGTCGCCTGCTTGGCTCCAATTTGACCGCATATGACGTTTAGAACCCAAATGGAGCAAAAAGGAAATGTTGAGTCGTTAGTTCAAAAAGACCCTTTTGTTGATCATACAGTTGTTAAAGTTCGATTAATTAGGTAGAGAATGAAAAACATCAAAGAGAAGAAAGTAAGAAAAAGAAGCATTGAATGCAAGGATTAAACAAAGGAAAATAGAGAAAATAAGAAATGAGAAGAATACATGAAAGAAGAAAAGAAAAAGAAGATTGGGAAACACAGATGATGTAGGGAACGCCTAGATCGATCGGAGTGATTTCCTGCTCAATTCTCGTGCGCAACGACGCAGAATCGACGACTGCCTTTGGAAACTGAAGCCGATAAGCCAACGTGGAGCCATAAGAACTGCATGCAGTTACGAAATCACGCTCGAGCTTGCGAATCTATGCAGAGAGGCTACAAAAGAGGATCTCAATTGAAAGCAGTCGTATTAGCGGAGGCAGCAGAGGCTGAGAGGAGCATCCCAGTGCTCAATAAAGCGTTTCTGCCTATGTACTTTTCTTCGAAAAAGGATGAACACGTCGTTCTTTTAGTTCTCTTTTCCGAATTCCTGCGCTAGCAAGTTGGTGAAGAAGCTCACATCACCCGGTCTCGACAGGATGAAATCGGAACATAGGAAAAGTCCACAGCCAGATATCTTCAAAACTTTGGCTTGATCTCAACGCATTACTATTGGAGCAAAGGCACTCACTCCATGAGAACAGAAGGATAGTGTGTAATGAAGGTGAGCTCGTACGAACATGACGCTATCGCATCTGAAGCAGGGTCAACCGTTACGTTGGACCGATATTGGAGCGACGTTGGACCGATGTTGACCGCTCTCCGCGCCGGCATTCACTCTCGCCACCCGCGAGCCGTCTGTGTCTCCGTGCGTACGTTCACTCTCGGCATTACTCTCGTCGTCGCGTTGGACTTTGTCCAACGGACGGTTGACCCTGCTTAAAGCTCTCTGTACCCTATAAGCCTTTTTTCGAGTCATCTTCGAATTTGCCAGAACAACGTGTGAAGTATAACCATGAAGGAAACTGCTTCGAATAGGGTTCGGCCACAGGGTTACGAGACTCACGACATTGAAGTTTCACGAGAGTACGAGATGCCGCTATGCCCTATAGCAACGACTTGAAGAAGGCCAATACTGCGGAAAGACAAGCCATCATCGGCCAGGCTACCTCGCATTTGTATTCTCAGTTATTAAGATTCCTCCTGTGAAGTCTACAGATATTTAAGTGACCGAATTCCATGCAGTCTACAGAAATCTATCATCCAGTAAAGGATGGGTAAGCAGTGAATAACCTTTCCAAAAACATTTGAGCTTGGATATTAAGGAAGACGATGTTTTATGGAATCGAATCGGTGCTTTGCTTATCACGTCTCACCGGAGAGAACTCTTCAATTTTCTAGCTGAGTGTACTAGAATCCAACACGGCTGAAAGGCTTAGTCCAGAGCCGAGATAGGAAGAAATAATGCTGGCGAGCATATAGGACAGCGAGCGAGAGTGAAGAAATTGGAGAAACATCTGACTTGACGCCTCCTTTTCGATTGTGCAGTCCTTTGCCTCAGCGACTTGGACTCTGCGCAAGCAGAATGAGCGAGCGGTCAGAGTCACAGAGAGTCACAGTCGTCAGAGTCAGTGCGGTCAGATCAACGCCCTTTTGAGAGGATGCATGGAAGGTTATGCTTGTCACGCAAGTGAAGGGGTTATCAGAGTTCAAAGGCTACGTCAACGGTAAAGAGAAGAACGTTGCGGTACAGCATTAGAATTCGAATATCTAGGGGGACGTATTTGCGTTTTTTGATGACGATTTTATAGGATTTGATCGGTTTACTCACTCGATAGCGGATGCTCAACAAACGCTTGACGATGCTAAGCGTCATCTTACACGCTCAGCTGTGAACGATTTGGAATGATGATTGCATGTCCATCGAAGTGGTATATCACCGCCAACTAATTCCTGGACGAGAGAGAAAAATAATACGTTGCGGATGCCCCACCTGAGCAATCTGTGATCGTGGGGGTGGAGGACATGATACAGTTGAGGTTTCAGAAGTCATGGTCGGAGAGCAAATGGTGGTGAACGGTAATGTGTGCTGCTAATTATTAGGAATTACACACACAGAGCGCAGTCTTGTGTAGTGGTAAGTAATCAAACATGTGATGTCTAGCAGACAATCCGATGAAAATGGATTCTCATCCGTCTGCTCCTTCGAAATTATCCCCATATTTCTAACAATGATGAAGCTTCCAAGATAGAGAGGCAGTGAGTTTTGAATCATCTCTGGGCAGAATATGCCGCATAGGGTTCCTGGGTTGTGAACCAAGTAAACCTACCTAGACAACGTCCAGCTATTAGAGAAGCGTTGGAATGGGGAACTCGGGAGACCGAGTAGGTAGGCGCAGAGCCAGAATTTTCTCTTTTCACAATGTTCGACTGTGATTTCACTGCCATTCGATTTTCACCGCTCGAACGGGTGCTATACTTTGCGACCAATCGCTAGCGAATCGTGCGATCCGTTAGCGATCGGTCGCAAAGTATGACACCTGCCTCAACCTCTGAATGATGCATCCGTCACTCGTTGAGATTTCATGGCAGATGAATTGCACTGGAATCAAGAGCTCATTACCGCGGAATCTTCATATTATCAAAGCAATAGTCTTACAGGGCGCTGGCAGACCATTCAAAAACATAATCAGAGCAAACATTGGAGACGCCGAAGCTATGGAACACAGCAGTATGACCTTCAACAGACAGGTAAGTGTCATACCAACCATGCCAGTACTTTAATGGAGTAACTTTTTTGTGAATGGAGTGGCTAGGTTCGCATGCACAGATAATGTGCCAATCTTACAGCTCCAATTTTTGCGATAAGAAGACTCGGACAGTGGTCCAGAGTACCGGGGCTAACCGTCCACTCCTTTGCTCGCAATGCAGTGTCTGCGCCCTACTCTCTCACGCGTTTTCTCTCCGCGGCACACTGTGTCTTTGCGTCGTACCGCGGTCATCACCACACAAGGGGTCTCTAACTTCATTGTTTTTGACGGACTCATTTACATTTTTCTTCAGTATCGTTATCTACACACCTGAGCTTTCATTTTTGAGCGCTACATCCACAGCTTTCTAGCGGGAACTGTATTTCTGAGATCCGCTCTGCAACGCCACAATATATGAACTTATACTCTGAAAGCCTTTTGATGCATGTGGCCTGTGTGTTTGACCGGAAACGTGACGTGACATGACGACGTTTATGACGCGTTTCGTGCCGTCGTTTGTGTTGTTTGGTCTGCACTGCAGACGCACCTAGTTCTCGGACATACGGTAAATGTGATGCAGAGAATAGGTCCAGCACATTGGGTAGCGGAAATTGATAACAACTGATAATCCAAAAGGGGCGTTAGAAAGCAAATAGCCGGCATGCTTGATCCTGTCTACGACGGCTCAATTATGGAGCGCTTTCTTGGAAATTCATGGTTAATTATGGTAGTGATTAGGAACCTTGCAGGAAACC